AATGACACCAAAAACACTTGTATCCATGATGCCACGACTGTCACAACCTGAAAGAGACCGAGCCATTGGCATCCTCCAAACCGGAAGGAACCGACGGGCTGTTCGGGGTCCAGGCTGTTCGGAGTCCACCACTCAACGATTGTGCGTCTTGAACAGCGCTACACTACCGGCACCTCCGCAGATCGTCCCCGAGCTGGCAGGCCGCGGGTCACGACCGCTGCACTAGACCGTGCCAACCGGCTGTCCCGTCTCCGTGACAGGTTCCGGCACTCTACACGCACTACACGCACTGCTGCTGAGACCATCACCGCGCTCCCACTTGATTTGGAAAAAGGTGGATCAAGATCCGGCATTTTGGTGTGATCGTTATCTTACCGCAACGAAACCGCAAGTCGCGTTCCCACTTATGCTTGATCCACCTTTTCGTACGGAAATGTTGGGTCCGAGAGGTCACTGAGTTCGGAATTACGCGCGCTCTGTGGGAGTGCCATTGTTGCATGGTTGCATGCTAGGCCAGGATGGGTCAGTTTTCAAACAGCACTATCAGAATTCACAGACAATCCTGCGTGCATAAATTAAAAGGTGAAATCCGACAGAGCCGCTCACGTGTGACATCACGGCAGAAACCAATGCATCGATAAGGGATTCCCTGGTTCTGAAGCTTCTCATTGGTTAGAAACGGTCACATGATGCACTACGACATCATTTTCCAATTTTCTATAATCAATACTTCAGATTTGTAACCTCCGTGCGTACCGCGTTATGCACTATTCTCATCGCATACTCGTAAGCTTTTCAATGATTCTGTGCCAAAGTGAAGTCTTTTCGTGAGTGCGGACTCAGAGTCATTTATGGATGGAAAAATAAGTAATATTTCAGGAATGAAAAAGGTTTAGTAATGGACGAACACGCAACAAAAATAAGGCCTATAGTGTAGTTTTAGGATACCACGTGCGCTTTTGCATGCGCGGTGCTAGCCCGTAGTTCAGTGGTTGTTTATTGTGCATGTTGTAAACGCTGGAAATGTTCACATGAGCTACACGCCTGAAAACGTGTTTCTTCGTTCATGAGACCGCAACATTTTCGCGCCACTCGTGCACCGGGCGGATGTTAACAGGTCAAATTGCCGGATCAGATCCACCTTTTGCGTTCCCATCTGATCGTGATCCGGCAATTGCCGGATCTGATCCACCAATTGGGGGATGTGTATCCTGGTCCAGAGGTGGATCAGAAAAGGTGGATCTGATCCTGATCCACCTTATAACGGTTAGCGTTCCCACTACACACAATTGCCGGATCTGATCCACCAATTGGGGGATCTGATCCGGCAATTTGGCAAAAGGTGGATCAGATCCCCCAATTGGTGGATCAAGTGGGAACGGGGTCCATGAAGACACACCACAGGCAAGTGAGTGCAAGAACCATCATGAATCGTCTCCGGGCTGATTGGATCAGACCATATCGACCGGGCTCTGTGCTGACACGCCGACATCACACCGACGCTGGACATTGCAGAGATGGTCGCAGGTAGTCTTCAGTGACGAGAAGAGGTTCCAGTGCTTCAGGGCCGATGGCAGGGAGCGGGTGTACAGGAGACGCAGTGAGCGGTACGCTGACACTTGTGTTCGCGAAGTCAACTGCTGGGGTGGCCCAAGCGTGATGGTTTTGGCTGGCATATCGGCCAATCAACGCACTGACTTGGTTTTCAACGAAGGAAACCTCAATGCTGCCCGCTACCGCGACGAGATGCTGGACCCAATTGTTCTGCCCTTACTGGAGCGAGTTGGGGGTCGGACAACGCCCGTCCCCATGTGGCTCGTGTGTGCGCCGACTTCCTGGAGGAGAATGATGTCGAGGTGTTGCCATGGCCAGCTCTCAGTCCGGATTTAAACCCCATCGAGAATGTGTGGGACTTGCTCAGTTGTCACATCCGACAACGAGATCATCCCCCAGAGACAAAACAGCTGCTGAGGGCGGCACTGTAGGAAGAGTGGGCTGCTATTCCACAGGACCAATTGCGACATTACTGTCGATCCATGAGGCGACGAATAACAGCTGTTCTTGATGCGAATGGAGGTCATATTAATTATTGAACTGTAAATGGCTCAAACTGAAAAAAAAAAATCAGTGGTGCGTTTCTTTTTTCCTTGAGTGTAGATAGACTACTGTTTCGAGGTGTATTTTCGAGGTGATTTGGTTAGGATGTGTCCTAACCATCGTTATCACAGCGCATTCTCATAACTTGTTCCTCGCACAAGAAACATCCAAGCAACTTACCCATTTCTGTCTCAATCGTCTCGAATTCTGTCAGATTTGGTTACATTCTTCAAGTTCAAGTTCAGAAAATATTCTCTAAATTTCTGAAGAAAATTCGAAATTTTAGCGGATTTTTTGTGTGTTATCCCCTATAGGTACGGTTGGTTTTAGATAGACTACTGTTTTCGAGGTGTATGAGGCGTAGGGTATCACATCCTAACTATCGTTATCATAGCGCAATCTCATTGCCTGAACCTCGCACAAGAAACATCCAAGCAACGATCCATTTCTGCTGATACGCTTTCCGTGTTGTCGCAGCTCTGTTTCACCGTGCTTCGGATGTGAAATTCGTGCAGAAATGTAGCCAGAGCCCAGCATTTAAGCATTAATGACGCTCGTTCCACCGATTACTCGAACCCCGTAGTCCAGGTAAAACCAACTGCAGCTATAGGCGATAACATAAAAAAAAGAATCCGCTAAAATTTCGAATTTTCTTAAGAAATTTTAGACAATGATTGTTTGAACTTGAACTTGAACAATTTTAACAAATCTGAACGAATTAGAGACGATTGAGGCAGAAAAGGATGGTTGCTTCTCCTGTGCGAGGAGCAAGTTATGAGATTGTGCTATGATAACAATGGTTAGGATGTGATACCTTACGCCTCATAAACATCGAAAACAGTGTAAAACTAAGCAGTGTAAAACTAGACATGTAAAACTAATCGCAGCTATAGGAATTACAGGAAAAAAAATCCGCTGAAATTTCGAATTTTCTTCAGAAATTAGAAAAAAAAAATGTGAACTTGAACTTGAAAATTCTTAACAAATCTGACCGAATTCGAGACGATTGAGGCTGAAATGGATCGTTGCTTGAAACAGCTATAGCGATTACAAAAAAAATCCGCTGAAATTTCGAATTTTCTTCAGAAATTTAGAAAAAAAAATTTGAACTTGAACTTGAACATTCTTAACAAATCTGACCGAATTCAAGACGATTTGAGGCTGAAATGGATCGTTGCTTGAAACAGCTATAGCGATTACAAAAAAAAATCCGCTGAAATTTCGAATTTTCTTCAGAAATTTAGAAAAAAAAATTTGAACTTGAACTTGAAAATTCTTAACAAGTCTGACCGAATTCGAGACGATTGAGGCTGAAATGGATCGTTGCTTGAAACAGCTATAGCGATTACAAAAAAAAATCCGGTAAAATTTCGCATTTTCTTACGATTTTTGAGACAAAATTTTTTTTTGAACTTGAACTTAAAAAAAATTTAACATCCGGCAGAATTTCGTAAAAAAAACCTCTTCTGGAATCCAAAAGTTATAAAAGAAATAAGCTGTTAGGACCTGGTCACGAACTTGAACTTGACAAAATCTGAAAAATTCGTAATGTTTAAACAAAACTCTTCAGAATTTCACATTAAAGTTTTTAAAAACATTCACGGGTCATCGGGTCAACTTTGTGTATAAATTCGTATTTTTACGAATCGGAAAGAATATTGTTAAAAAAAATCTTCAGAAATCAAAGTTAATCAAATAAAGATACATTTGAACTTGATGGTTAATGAACTTGGAAAAAATCGACAGAATTTTGAAATTCAGGCAAAAATTATTCCAAAAAATACACGGCTTTGACATGACCGGGACAAAATTTAAACACAACCATGAGCACAGATTTAGGATTCACTGAATTTTTCTTTTAATTTAGTTAAAAGCCATTATTTATGGTCGTTTACATTTCACAAGTTCTATGTATGGTAATAGAGTAACTGAGCCAATCCCTCAGAGCGCTAGAAAAATATCACGAACAATGCACACTGGAAATGTATTCTATGTCATGTAATATAATTTTGCAACAACACATCTTTTAAGTTACGTTATTGCATGTAACATAAATTCATACAAATTAATTTCATAACTACTTCATCAGCTAAATGGTATCATACAGGAGTCATGCTCAATACATATGAATATAACACTGATCAATATGTCACAACAAAAAGTACATTTTGAATTGTTTTGAATTGAAGGTAATTATTACTTCATACGAAAATTATTAATTTTAATTCACACGTGGTACGGGTTTTGCGTTTCATGGCTTCACACGTTGTCAAAGGGAACGAAGGTAAAACAACAAGTTGGTCGTACCAAAGAAGGTAATTCAGAAATGTACTACTTTCCATTTTGATACCCTACTTGTACTTTTAATGGATGACAGAGCGGCAACGATTTTCAAACAGTGAGGTTATACAAAAGTTGAAATCATTCATGATTTTAAGGGTGCAGGCTGTTTTTACATGTCCTTTTCATACAACCTAATTGTAGGGAAATGCAACTGAAAACATCTTACAATACAGGAGGAACAGCTAGCAAGGAAGTAAATATCTACAACAATGGGCGGTATGGAAAATACATGTGCTTAAATGATACAAAATATTAATAAACTACTTGAAATGAAAGCTAAACGTACCACGAAATGAAGCTATACGTTGAGCACAAAATTAACAAGATACATTACTTGAAAGAAAATGTGTATCGCTTCGAGGGTGTGATAAAAAAAAAATCCAAATAATTACCGGTTTGTACAGGGTGAATCAAAAAGCGGAACCCAAACCCCCCCCAAAACAATCCATATTTAAGAAAAAATATGCAGAACCAAAAATAAAAATAAGATAGTTTAAGATGAAAAAAAAAAATCGTTCAAAGAATATCACCATTTAAACGCAGGTTGTAAACCTGTCTCGTAAAAAACCAAAACACCAATTTATTGCGTGTTTTGACTGTTTGGAACAAAGAAAAGACAGAATACTTGTTTCAACAACTGTAGAACACACTATCTTTTTAAAGACGGGCCTCCAAACGGATTTACTCCAAACTTTTAAACTAAGGTTTTATCGGTTTTACCTTAAGGCAATTGTGGCGACGGTTCTTGAAATCGCATTTTTTGAACGGATTGAGCAATTTCAGTATTTTATTCATCTAAAAGTAGCTTATGAAATTGGCTCTCCAGTGCTACATATTTTTTAAATATGAAATTTAAATTTTGGGGGTTTTAGTTCCGCTTTTTTTGACTCAAATTTTTAATTTTGTTATTTTTCGAAGTTCGGAGGGAACAACATTGCACTGTCCAAAAAACGCATCGCAACTGTGCACTACGTTTTAAAACGGAGGCCCCAACAGACATTCCAGAAGGATGTGCATTTGTCAGCACTGATGCTATTAAATCAGTGAAACTTGTTAAAAATTAAATTATTGAAAAGGTTTGCTTGTATTATCTTATTTTAAAATAATGCACCCTGTCTTACACGTGACCGACATACGATCCCTGTAATACATTTTGATACATGTCCAAAAACAAGGCCATTATTATTAAGAGTACAATATACATTTAATAACTATGTTATACATTGTAACATTAAATTCCAAGTTACTTTTGACATTTTACAACTACGGTTAATTCTTTGTGTACATGTACATTTCAATGGAATGTTGCTTCTACCGTTCAGGAAAAAAAACCTACATCGACAATATAACTTTAAAAAAAACCTATCAATACACCTGTCTTCCGTGCAAAAAAAGAACTAAATAATCAGATATCTATCCAAAAGAAGATGACAAAATAAGTGTTTTAAAGTCATATAGCTCTCGCTTTAAAGATAGTACCAATGACACATTTCCTGTGAAATTTTCTTTCTGAAATGCTGCTTTATCAAATCAATGATGCTCAGTCATCGGTGACTAAAGTGATGCAAATAACATATCAATTCACACCCTTCCAAGTCATAGTAGCACTTAGTGCTTATCCGACCGACTACTGAGAGATCTGATTAAAATATTCAAATTTAAGATTGTTCCGCCATGTTCCACCTTCTTTGATGTGAGACAGAAAGTCGATTGAAAAACATGTTGATTCTTCTCAGACCTGATCTGTAAGTACATCAATGCGCTAGGTAGGATTGAATCCTTGCTTCCAACATTATTGTGTTTGGAACACCTGCGATCGGCGACAATCCCCAGGTCCACATTAAGTTTTGAAGACGGCCCCACGGCCGTAATGGGAAAACGTAATTTTCGTCATCTAAAACCTGGAGTAAACTTTCTTGTCTGAAAAAAAAATAGAGGCAAAAACCAAGATTGATTTTGGTGGTTCTGCAAAATTGAGTGAAAGTGTTCCGAGGAGTGGCTTATCATTTATCAGCCCTTCCACGGTCAAGTCTGTATGGGGCGTCCGAGGGAACTGGGCAAGTCGCCCCTTGCTTGGTGCAATATTGGAAAGAGTGCCCGAGTTAGTGGAGACATGACTCGGTGGTGGGGTTCGTAATGTTGTACCCTACAAGCTTACAATGAAGTCGGCAGCGGAAATAAACTTAGCTCGTTCGTTTCGGCGTATTCTTTTTCATTTAGAGTAGCGTTCCTTGCTTGCTTTGGCGACAGGTTCCAAAGGGACTCGGATGAGGGCCGGGGCATTCCGAAATACCGAAATAATTCTGACGAAGAATATTGCAAATCATCGATAAACCGACAAAAATTAACACGCCGTCAACCCGCGGGGATTAAAGTAAGAAAATTCCCCTTCCAACGTCGTCTGTATTCGTAACAGACAGCAAATTGTTGGGCTTAAGGTACACTTCAGCTTTGTTCAGAGGCATCGGAGTCTGTGATGATAACGTCCCGTTGGCCCTTGAGGCCAAGAGGGGCTTGAACACCCTAACTCGCCGCCCAAGCTCGTTGATGCCAACGTCCGACTCGACTTAGGGGTGGATCCTGCTTTTTCGTCGGAGAATTTCCCCGTCATGTTCGCAATCTGGATAAAGTCCTTTGGGAAGAAGCTGGGCCTCACTGATTAGAGGCATCGGAGGGTAAGTATGTAGCTTAACGTAACGTTTGAGGAATTACATGTGAGTACACCGCAGAGCATGCATAGTGGGTTAGACTGTGTGTGAGAACTCCACGCGAATCTCCAGATAAATATGCATTGGTAGTTGTTCTACGGGCAAGTAGAGTGCAAGTAACTGAGTTATTGCGTCATGACGGTTAAAAAAAGTCACGGCAAAAAGCATCTCCAGCGGATACGCACACGCGTTGCACCGTTTGCTCAGAGCAAAATGAAACGCTCGTTTGCTGATCGTGAGTTTCGGATTTGGGTATATCGGCTTCGGTAACCTGTATATATTGCAAACGCAGTTATGTAAACAGCTGTACAAAATTCGAGTTTTCTATAGGTTTGTGCACAAACACTGAGGCGCCCAGAGCAGGCATCACTTTGTACATGTGTCAGCGCTCTAGTATTTAATATAGCTCTATGAGTGCAAGTAGACTTGGTAGGGTCGAAAACTCACCGTGCCTTTACATGTAATTGCACTTATCACCAAATGTTACAATAACTTTATGAACACGCATAAAGTTCATTATTCAACCCCGAAAAAAGAGAGCTTTTGGAGGTTCGGGAAGACATTTTAACTGACATACAAGTATACTTTTTCTACAAACACCCTTTTAATTTACATTACATTGTCATGATTGAATAACCCTAGTAACAATCAACAAAGAAACAAACAGAATGTGATACGAAACCACAACACTGCTCAGGGAGAGTGAAGAAATTGGCGTCGACGTCCTGCCATCCTTGCTTCCAATTCCTTTCTTCCAATTCCTTTCGTGTATGACTGTCTGCACTTCTAGCTGCGGCGATGTAGGAAAACACACACAACATGGCATATCCAATGTCATGTGCCATATTAGACTGAAACTTATGACGAACTGTTTCCTTGAGTTTCGGGTCTGTGAAACAAAATTGTTGGCACACGTTCTTGATTATCGTACATGCTGTACGTGTACTGCAAACCATTGTGAACTACACTCAACCAAAGAAGAAAAAAAAAATTCTTAATACTGTTCGTCTCACTCAAAAACTACTGGGCACATCTTGCGACTAACGACTGATCAGTACAGCAATTCCATAGCAATGCAGCCATACCCCTTGTTAGACCCAAAAACTAATGTGTACAAAACTATGCAATTTATGACAAATGGTACTGAAAAAAAGTTACACTTTTTTGTATACGTGCAGGGTGAGTGTTGAACCCCAGCTTTTGCACGTATTAGAAAGTGCAACTGTTTTCGGTATCATTTGTCATGAATTGCCACTGTTTTGGCTCAAATAAAGGGTATTGGCTAGATTGCTAAGGACATTCTGTACCGAAAAGTCGCTATTTGAGCGAGAGGTGCTCAGAACTTTTTGAGTGAATCAAAAAGTAATGGAAGGTTGAGTGCAGTTCTTTATTACACTAAAAAAAAAAGTCTAGCAGGAAGATAGGGTTCCCATGCACCCCTGGATACATTTTTCCAACCTACGATTTTGTGATCCTTAAGGAGTATAGTAAATGAATTTTGATGTTAGCAAGATCAAATCTCATCCCATTGGGTTTTATTTGGCGGCCATCTTGGGCTTCGACGAAAATCTGTTATTTTGAACTAGGCATTATACGAAGCCCAATTAAGGTGTAGGCTTAATCTTGTAGCTGGAAATGCCGAGTGCGGATGTGAATAATCATGCCAGTATGGTGCGGCCATCCCTTCCCTTTCACTCACTGACTTTGCACCAGAAAACTGTTGAGGAGACGGAGGATGAAAAGTGGAAGAGCATCAAGGGGATATGACGTGTTTTTTTTTTTTTTAATTTTTAAGATGACGCCTAAGACGTTCAGTATGGCGATGAAATGTCATTGATGACCACTTCTCTAAGCTTGTCATGTCGCTCAACAAGACAAGTCTAATACTCATCATAATCAATCTACTGATGCTCTTCCACTATTCCTTTCCACTGGAATAGTACTACTTCTGTGGCATCACTTACGTCATGGCAGACGATGGTTGTAGCACAACCAAAGAAGTATTAGCTATCACGCACATTCTAGTATGAATTGTAAAGACCCAACTCTTCAGTGGCAGTCTCTATCACAGCGAGTGCAGGTCAAGGATGAGGGCGCCTGAGATGAACATACCCGCCTTTTGTGTGGCTCACTTTGTCAGTCAGGAAGATTTCCAGCATCGTCGGCCAACCTCGACACCTTCCTGCACGCGGCCTATTCCAATCTTGCAGATGTCCTTAAAGCGGAAACAGCGTCGCCCTACAGGTCTTGAACCTTCAGCAAATTCTCCATAGAGGAGATCATTTTAGGCGCCGACTATCCTCTTGACATAGCCCAAGCTATTAAAGACGTCTCATGCCTAGGTTAGCAAACGTGCATGCTCTAAAACCTCCGTGTTGGTCACTCAATCCTGCCAGCTTATGCAGAGGATGCGTCTGAGGCATCGGAAGTGGAAGCTGTTTAGTCTCTTCTCCCTGACCGGCATAGGGTGCACAGTCACGTGATGCTTGGCTATTCTGCTGTTGAGCTCTGTGTCAAGAGACAGTGTGCTGGAGATGGCTGAAACGAGGTAGGTCAAGGTATCCACCCCCTAAAGAACGTGTCCGTTGGTGGCGATGGCAGTCTACAATGTTCTGGGTCATGACATTGGTCTTTAATCATGTTGATGGTCGGCCCAAAATTGATTGCAGGCGCGGGACAATCGATGAGCCACTGGAGTGGGGCTTTAATGTGGGACGCCAACAATGCATCATCGACTTGGGTATGCAGGTCTACACCCTTAACTGGTGCAGCCTCCAAAAACGTAGGTACTAGGAACATTATAAGAAGAGCATACCAAAGAGAGTGGGAGCCAACACGTACGCAGCCCTATTTTACTTTACTTCTCAATGGGAAGGTATCTGATGTTACACCGTTGAAGTTCACGCCCTCGTGGAAGGATGGTATCATGCCCATCGCTAGGGTGGCAGCCGATCCCTGCAGCAGTTTGAAGAGCCCACTTCTGCTGACAAGTTCCTAAACCTTTTGTCAGGTCTATGCAAGCAGTATAGAGTGGCATTTGCTGCTCCTGAAACTTCTCCTGCAGCTGGCAAAGTGAGAATATATCCACAGTGGGTCTGCCCGCTCTAATGCCACACTGCTACTCCTGGTAGACACGTGACGTGAGGCTCTGTAGACGGGTCAGGACAATATTAGTTATCTTGCGAGCGCTCGTGGAACACGGAATAATGTAGTGCGTCTGTGTCCCACATACCACGAAGGCCGAGTGGTATGTGGGACACAGACGCACTACATTTTCCGTGTTCCACGAGCGCGAGCGCGATAACGAATTTATCTTCAAGCAAACTTGACGCACAGTAAAGTTGGAACACGCATGCTGTGTAAGTACCTACGCGCAACTTTTGAATTCCCAGTGAATTGTGCAGCAGTAATCGCGTCACGTAGGCTTAGAATGGCGAAATACGCGGAGTGCGGTATGGACCGTGGCCGTGCGGTATGGTTATATGTAGCACGGCTTGTTGCCATGGATCGACCAATCAGGATCGAGGATTCAAGTTTGCTTGAAGATAATGCGTGAGAAGACCTTACCGACTAAGCTGAGCTAAGAGATTCTGCGATAGGTATTACAATCGCAGCTGTTGCCCTTCTTTCTGTGCAAAGTGACGTTGTTTGCATCACGCATATCCCTGTGGAACGTTGCCCTTTTCCCAGCAGAGGCAGAGGAGTTATGAAGGCGACGCAGCAGCACTGGTTATTAGGACTTCAGGGAAGGATACCGTCAGGGTAGGATACCGTCAACAAGCAAGGCAGCCTGTGGCTTTTCTGAACTCTTCCAGTTGTGATGGCAGTGTGGATGTCTAAGCCTCTCCCATGACTGGCAGGTCTTTGATGGCTTCTCTTGGCTTTTTGTCACTGATTCTATTTCTTCCAAGTTTGACTCGGCGTCCTTACGTCCTTCTCTTCCTGCTTGCAGAAGTGGGCGAGGTTTAGACCATCGACCAGGTGGGACCACTCAGATTCCCGTTAAGTGTCATCACCGCCTGTAGGCTCTGCCAGAGCCACATCAAGACTGTCGACAAAGTGCCGAGTCCTCTCTGGGTTGTTGTAACAGAAGGTGTGGATACAGTCTTGCTGTGGTGGAGCTTTTTTGGTACGAGCTTCGCTTTGCCGGCTACGAGGCAGTCTGAGTGGCTCCATTCCTGATTTTCAATCGATTCCCGACACCCAAATTACTCCGGAAAACGTGTTAATTTGTCATTAAATTTTGTTATTCTTAGATCCCTGTTACAAAACTCATGTCAATAATCGATTTTCGTCAAAATCCAAGATGGCCGCCAAATGAACCCCATGAAACAATATTTGATCTGTGGAACATAAAAAATCTATTTCAGGATACCTTTTGGATTATAAAAAAGTAGGTTTAGAAAATATATCCAGGGGAACCCTACAGTCCTCCCCAACTAATATGCAATAACAGTTGGCCAACATAAATGCTTGCAGACAAATGAGACAACAATGTACACAATAGGAAAAAAAATGATGTCACAGGCAAAAAAGGGATGGGTTTTGTTTTCTTTGTTCTGTTTTGGATTTTGGATGGGGGGGGGGTTTAAGTCCTGCCCTAATTTGATACAGAATTTGATACGGAATAGGCAAAAGGAACAGTTTTTCCACTTTCGAATCTCAATTAATTACTTAAACACGTACACACAAGTGTGCATTTGCCTACAACCGGGGACCCTCTATTGTTCAACGTCCGCTATTGAATGCAGAAACAAACTCACACACATTTTGTGATTATTCACGAGAGCTCCATAATGTGGAACGCACTGCATTGCACGCCCAGGTTTGAACCCCTAAGCTGTGATATGTTTAATGTATTTTCATCTGAATGTGCATTCGAATCTGACCAGCAGATTTTGCAGTGCGTCCTGCCTAATTTGATACATGGCAGCTTCAAGACTGATATTATTTACTTTACTTGCAAAGCATTTTGAATCCGTTACGCTTGTCGGCTAATTGCAAGCACTCTTAATATTTACAGTAATAAAGGACACCACGACGATCCTTCTCAAGTTATTGTAGGAAACTCTTTCTGTCTATTTTTTTTAGGGTTATCATATTGACCTTTGACCTTACGAGGTCCAAAATCATAATATTTCTGAGACACCACTACAGACCTATACACCAAGTAATAAGTTGATATTTCAAGTCCTTCCTAAGTTACGGTGGAAAAACTGATTGTTTGCACGCATATACATGGAAGGACAAGGCAAAGGCAGTATTGGCAATTTGGTGTAAATATTACCCCTTGTATCCATCTCCATGATAATGTCCCGCACTGCCAAAATGCAAATGAACTGTTATATATCGTACATATATCCACCACCCTGCGTCCATTCGTCCGTGATTTTGTTGACTGTGGTCACCTTTCTCAGATTTATGCTTAACCTGGAATCTTATCTTGATTTTGGATAATTCCAGAGCTCTTAATATTAAAAATTAATTTATACATGTGGTGCTTTTCATCAAGCCAATAGTCATGCACAGAGAAGATGGGGACTGTCACCAAATCCTGACAGAACAGTTTTAATCCCCACAGAGTAAAACCTATTTCATTCTAGGCTTTTAATTAATGCTTTACCATTGTATGTTCCAGTCTCACTTAAGCCCCCATGATATTTTTTTTATAAAAGGGTTTGACTCTCATATGAAAATATTTTATTCTTGTACTAACCATGGTCACAAAGCACCAGCAATCAACAGTATTCAAGTTTTGGCATAGTCTTCCTTCATTTGCAAATCCGAGTAGGTTGCAATTTTGTATTTTTGAGCAACTGAGTAGAATGTTCCTGCTCAAAGCACCTGCTCTCCATGGCTTACATGAACTGCTCTTCACAATCAAGTCACTTCAAAGACATGCTGGCCCTGTGTTACAAGACACAAGCTGAAGATTCGTTCACAGTCAGCATTTTTGTGGATCAAAACAAGAACAGCTTTTTCGCCAAGTAGAGGAAACTCGAGATTCTGATTTCCATCCTTGAGCTGCCCTTTAGATGTTTACTGCTCTGACCACCCTTGTAAAGCTGGTAAATTTCATTGGAAAATTCATCAACTTGGTACTGCAGAAATCATCCTGTATTTTCCAGTTTAACAGAAGTGTTCATATTAAGACAGGTACATTTCTTGGTAAAGTTGAAGTTCTCTCTCTTAGATATATCAACTAATTTGGGCATTGATCAAAATTTGGTCTGACCATTTAGGGAAATTTAGCAACCATGTACTCAGCAGCTTCGCAAAAGAGGAATTCCTTGAACCTTTCCTTGCCAAATGTTTCTAATGTTTCACTGCCAATATCTGCATTACATCCAAGAGGGTGTGGTATGGACTTGTACTGGTTTCTATTCTCTTGTCTCTACTGCTACTAATAGACTGTCCACAATGATCACAGGAACTGTTAGCCATCTTTATAGCTGATGGTGGGGGTTATTGGTATTGGACTCTTTTTCTCTTGTCATTTTTTTGGTATTGGACTCTTTTTCTCTTGTCAGCACTACTTGTACATGGACTGCCCACCATGATCGGTGGTGTCAACCTCAAAACATGTTGATCTTGAAAGTTCTTCAGGGTGTTTTCTTTTACTACATTCATCCTAGTAAAAATAAATGTCTACAATTTAGTACTCCCATGAACTCTTATTTTATTGTTTCACTTTCAGATTCAAATGTTCAGCTCAACAACTCCAAGGCATTTGCAAAGCAACAAGAGTGAAACCTGGTGTCCGGAGTTATGCATCTTGTAGTTCAAAATTACTTACGGCGCCTTGATCAGAAATTTCAAAAGACCATATCGAATGGCAGCTCAAGCCCTCAAGTGTTCAAACAAATAACGCAGCGGATGATTAAACCAACCAACAATCAATCCAGTAACAGCCACTAATCAATGTAGTTTAGCAGCCAGACAATCAGCATTTACAATCTTTTTCTACAGCCACCTTCAGCAGATACCATGCCACCAAGGAAGTTAGTTGATGTACTTGGCCATATCAACGAGGAGTGGATCTTCAGCTTCCGTCTAGCCAATCACCAGCTTACTTTTGGGAACACTGAAACACAGGTGCAGGGCTCCATTTTACTTTCTTTTTACTCTATCCGTATGTTCTCTCATGTTGAGCACGGATGAGGCAAATAAAGTGCAGTAGCACGAGCAGTCTGCTGAGCTTTCATATCGACAGACCATCAGTCCAATTGTCCGGTGCTCGTATCATAATGTAGTCAGGATAAAGGTTTAAGACAGATGTAGATAGATACAACCTTGCCTCACACCCTGACTGATGTCCACCGTAAAGATAATCTGATTAGCTGGATTTAATGACAAGGGATTTCCATTTCTTTCAGGGCAAGTCCACAAAGTAATTGAGCTGCACAAAGTTAAAAGCTTTGCTGTGGTCAATGAAACACAACCAAAGGTTCCTTCTATATTCATGGCATTACTCCATGATGTGACAAAAACTTGCAATGTGTTCCATGGCCTCTTCGGAAATCCAGCTTGTTCCGTAGGAAAATGTGATCTCAGCCTGTCACTGATGATGTGCATTTACATCTTACTTACATGGGGCATTAAGGCAATGGTCCTGCTGGTCTTACATTTGGTTATATTTCCTTTGTTTGGCAAAGAGCTGAAACCGCTTTTTTTCCAGTCCTTTGGCAATGGTTAAAAGTGCCGAATTGTTACACAATTTTTGCAGCATCTTCGTCTAATTTCTTCAGCAACTCCATAGGGATGTCAATCAAAGCCAGAACCTCTTTAAGGCACAGAAACAGCAAGAAACAGAAGTGGTTTTATCTTAAATTCAAACCTTATCTCCCAATTGTGACGTCTACAGTTGTGCACTGGCTGATGTATGTGATGACTTGCCCTGGCACAGTCACAGATGTTTCATTGCACAACTCCACACAGGTGACATCATGACGTCAGCAGCAGCACCAGTCATTCTGCAGTACCAGCCAAATGGGCTTTGGAGGATACGTTTAAAAGAGAGGTCTCTGCAAGGCACCCAACTTCAAATTCAGCAAAGTTTGGCACAAGCTGGCAAGCCTTTAAGTATACACTAAATAAGCCTGATAATACAAAATTATGTAAAGAACTTACCTAAATATATTTCGATTTCTACTATATTACTGGAGGAACGAATCATGCTGCTCTCCCTATGTGAACTCGGGAGCTGACCCACTGAAATGGTTCCTCCGCAATAAAACACAGTTTAGTGGACATTCATTTGCATTTTAACGATGGTGGACAATACCATTTTCTTGGAAGGGCAGTGCAAGCTGTTTCACAGGGGCATATATAAAAAAAAACAGCACAATACTAATCCATTATCACAACAATCCACAAAGACAAAATAGTGGAAGCCAAAGTAGCAGCTGTGCTATGCTTCAATTTCCAGTTTATTTTTGTTTTTAATTCAGAAGTGCTTTCTAAAAGATTGCACAAACCACATGTGTGAATATGGATAAAGAACCAAAATGAGATAAGTAATCAGCTCCAGTACTTACCATACTCCGCAAGCATAAAAATATCCTTCTTGGTTTTGTACTCTTTGATATCTTTCAGCTCTATGAACCACTGGAAAGAAGAAGAAAAAAACAAAACAAAGGGAGAAGAACAACCTTGATGAGACATTTTGCTAACGCAGTATACAAACTTTCACGGAAATGGTAACCCCTCTAAATTTATTATTGACATGTTTAAGGCTACAAATATGAAGTTAAAACCAACCCTTTAAAGTTACCGAGGCAAGATTTAACTTTCCAAAAATCTCAAACACGCTCTATTTTAGACGCAAGTGGTTATTTAACCATTTCTTCTGGCTAGGCGAGTCAATTCAGGTTCTTGCACGCATGCAGAGTATAAACTTACTTCGTCCAGTTTCATTTCCCTCACTTTTCGTTATAGTTGTTTTCTCTCTTGTGTGTATTCTTTTATTTACAGACATCTTGGACCTAACTGCTTGCCTGTGACATGCAAGGACATTGGTCCAGATATCGCCCCTTCACTTCAGCAAGCAATGAGGGGCTTCTATAAGCAAATATTACTGTGAAGCATCGATTTTTGGTTGAGTGAAATCTTCCACTCTTTAATGATTAACCCAGCAGATTCTCCCATGGTACCAGTAAATCATGACCAGTTCCAGTATTTATTTTATCATCTATCAGCCTTTCATCTCCAGTACGACACCGAAAATTTAGGCTTGTTGGATATTGGGGAGCAAAAGACGACTGCTCTCTTCAATTCAGAACGGATTGGTAATTGTTGAAAGTGCACATTGTTATTTACAAACCCGCCCAATAACCAGATGCCCTGGGGGCCTGACCTAGAACAAATTGCAATAGAATTTATTTTAATGCTATCACGCTATGGAAATATCAATATTTAATGTACTGAAAATCTAATTTCATCAAAGGAGTGGAAAAGTGCTTTTATTCATTTTTTCGCTACTAATTTGTCATCATCCATCGTATGGAGGGTGTCATGTTTTCTTTCGCGTCCGTTACCCGTCAGAAAATCCTTTCACATCACGTATGAGACTTTGCGAGATACGACTGATCACAGCAGATGACTTTTCTATGTCCACCTATTATTACAATTTATACTTTACACTGTCGCCAAATACTATAGGATAATTACTTGGAAAAAATCAAGAAAATGAAAAAAAAATTCTGCCCGAATTATCTGTTGGTTAAAATAAACCACTTTTTGCTCAATAAACCATTTATTTCATGGAAAATCTTTGCATAAACAGGTCTACTTGAAATGAGGCCGGGAAATGATATACACAAAGAGATCAATTTAAATTTAAAATTTAAGTGTCTACGCCAATAGGCTGGAGTCGAAATTTAAATATTAGGGAAAACATCCGAAATCCCAGATTTGTGTGTTCGTTTTGTGATGAATTAGGTCACTGGCATAACTTAGAAATAACCTATAAATTAAAAATTAATGAACACAAATTAACTGGATTAAATCTTTAGCTGATTTCTGGGCTTTAGAGAAAAGAAATTAGGCAGTGTGACAAGTGTATAACCTCTAAAAATATTATACGTGCCCCAGATCAAAGCCTTAGGCCGGGAGGGGGGGGGGTGTTGTGGACCATACCATTGATATCATTTTTAAAAGTAATAACAACGCGAGGTCTTTTCCATCCAAAGAATCATTTCGTCGGGACTCAAGTATGCTTTTCTGGAGTAGTGCATTCCACTCTTAACAGTACAAGCAGATGTCTCAATCAATTGTCATACCTCGATCAGGGTCTTCACAATTTAGCTGTTTAAATTACAAAATGTACTGAATGAAAAAAATGTGTGATGTACGTACATGCAAAGCTCATGTACAGAATTACATCTGTTTCTCATCAACCTCATAGAATTCTTTGTTCTAATTGTGACCAAAGTGTTTTGAGATGTTTTGTTTCATATTTTCATGTACTAACAAATGTACTGTAAGCATCACAACCTGAACCCAGTACTTCCTGAATGCTCTTAACCAAATCCAACTAGCCCAAATCAATAATCTTTAAATAAAGATTTTTTCGCTTTACTTTGAAAATGGTTCATGCATGCACTGACCAACCGTTTTCCATCTGTGTATGATCAAACATGTTTTTTAGACATCCCTTTTTGCAAATAATCGTGTCTCGTCTGTGGACTTATTGCGCACTTTAGGCGGAAAATAGTCCACTCTATCCGTACTAGTGCATGCCCTGTATGACTTGAAACAGACTTTCGTATGACTTGAGACAGACACATTCCCGTCAAAAGTAGACTATTGAGGTAAGTTACAAACGTGTACTGCTCTTAATATAAAACTCACTTTAAACATTTATGTAACAAGCAAAACGAAATTGTATGACACACATGTTTATGTGTGTCATACAATTTCGTATAATATTTTTAGAGGTTATACACCAAAAAAAAACCTTTGGGTTTTTTGGGGTTTTTTTTAAAAAGTTTCTGACGCAATGTTGTCTACACGAATACTGCAACTGGTCCAGCTGAAAATGTTGGACAACACTGCACCGATGTCAGTGGTAGGTCTACGACGTTTTTCCGTAAAAAACAAACAAAACGTTTTATCCAAGGACTCAAAGTATTATTATCAATATCAAATTTTTGATGAGCATCAAAAGTCCTACCATAATTTTCTTCATGATTTACAGGCAATTCCCATGTTATTTTGGTAAATATTCAGTCCAAAGAGATGACATATCGTCAGGCTGTTTTCAAAATATGCGTACGGATGCACCACGGCAGTGGATGTGGTCGACCGTGTCACAGACTAATGTTGTACGGTTAGCAACGTCGCAGGCCCCGGTCAAGTCCCTCGCGTTGCCTGGTGCTTTTTATGTATACGTTCGCCACACAAACAATAGTCCTTTTCCCTTTTGTAACCAGTTGTTTTATACATCGTGATTCAATAATTATATTAAATATTATGAAGTTACTCGAAAATTTTGAAATTGTTTACTTTATTGTTTGCAAACAAAATGTAAACAAGGCCATGAGACCACACAAAGTTTCACCTTGACCCGTAAGTGGGTGTTTACATAAATGTGGAGGCCAGTGGTATAATGTACATGTTCTTTCCTTTCATGGGGCATTTCCATGTTAAAATAACCAGCTTGCTAATATTTGTGTTTTTTACTTTATTGCCCATATCACTATGTACCCACTGAAATAAAAAAAAATTAAATCACCACAATGCATTTGTATAATTTTGATCAAAAATTAGCCAGAATTATGACATTTTTAGGTAAAATTGCGTGACATTTTTACAGCTTGTCCAATGATGCACAGTTTTCATTCTTTCAATTGATAAATTTGGTCCTTTTTAATTCTAAATGATTGATGGTAACCCAAAACTTAATATTAAACACAATGTTCGTGCATCGGCAACTTTGTATCATTTTGACATGCCCGCTAAAAATACCATCACTCTGTAACATTTGGTGTCAGCAAATCCTGTTACAGAGTGAACTTTACCATTGATTATAATATTTGTAGAAACTGTCAACTATTCTAAATTTTAAGTGATTATTGAAGTCTTTTATTAAATAAAGAGACTAAAGAAGACCAAAAGTGAAATTCAAAGAAGTACAAGAAATATACCAATTTTAAATATTGGCAGATCAATTTGGTGTCATCAAAAAACGTTACAGTGTGATACTTTGCAGTTGCACTCTGAATTTGTCAAACTGTATTTGTCAACAAGTTTAACTAAAAATATATCCTGGAGATTGGCTTGGAATATAGATGTCATTACATTTTGAATCCTTCTCTTAGAATTTGAAATAAGAGGCAATAAAGGTTTGGTGTCAACAACTGACTCCGTTACAGGTGAAATACCTCTTTTCAGCTGAAACAATGAAGCAAAAGCACCTGTTTGATTGATGATTGAGTTTTTAGCTAAAATAATGACTAAGTTTTTTAATACAATGAAAACTTTGGCAAAGGACAGGTTAAAGTAGAACTACAGTGAAGAAAAGTGATAAAAGTGTTTTTGGTGTTGGTGTCAGCGTTACAGGTGAAATGATTATTATAACAAACTAAACTTCCAGTCTCAGAAACAAGTATCTGATGTAGAAACCATCAAGCTTATCACTAAATAGAAAGGTTTAAATGGTTTGATACCATTTATTACTATTATTATTAGTTAGTTGTAGGATTGTCACTCAGTAACAGTGACTATTTGGTGTCAGCGTTTGTAAATCTTCATTGCTCTTCATAGTTGCAGTTTTGGCTGTCAAACTTGCTTTTAGAGAACAAGTGAGTGTTTGTCTTAAAATAATATAATTTTATGTCAAGTGAGAGCTACATTTTTGTAATCCTCATAATATGTCAAATTTCCTAAAACTTGATATTTGATTTTCAACAAATGTTGAACAAGGATAGTGTTAATTTTTTTTTTAACTTATGTGTTGCAAATAATTGCTTAAAAAGCAACATGTCTTTACCATACCTGAACAATAACCTGGTGAGAGCTCTAAAAGAAATTAACAATTTGGTGTCACTGTTACAGGTGAAATTTGTGTCCCATATGCTAGTTTATCATGTTGCTACTCTAAAAAGGGTCATGTTACAGAAAAATGGTTTTGTTTTTGACAAAATATAGACCCTAGACTACAAAACCATGTGAAGCTGAATTTAATTTGGTTATTTTGAAAATTTGACCCTAATGTCACATACTGGCCTCCACATTTATGTAAACACCCAAATGTGGCTACATCATAGATATAGAATAAAAAGACTAGATTGGCAGCGCGTCTACACGCGCCCATTCACAGTGCGATAAATCTCCGCCATTTTGGTTGTCTAAAGTAATGGAGCTAAATGTATCTTTCCTCCAGCACGTGACCTAGCTCAACGCGCCCAAAGCTAGAAATGCGCACCGACTATTTACGCGCTGCGCTTACGCACGCTATCATGTTGGCGTGCTGCTTGTCGTTTTGGCTACAGGATAATCAGTTTATTTTCTGCAAAGTAAACCTGTTTTAAGACAACCAATTTTGATTACGTCTAGCGTGCAATTTGTATCTTTCCTCCAGCACGTGACCCTCCAGGCAAGGCCGTGCGTATGCACGGCGC